AATATGAATTACAAAATTTTACTTTTATAAAGAGTAAACAGTCTTTACTAAATCTTGACTAAGCTCTTTACTAAAGAGATTAAAAGCTATAGGAGAAAAATTAAAGATAGCCAAAGATTTACCATCAGGATCAGATGGTTCTGCCAATGAATTCCAAGACTCCGTAAAGGAACAGATCATTACCACATAGAAACAGAAGGAAAATTTCTCAAATCAGTCTAGAAGGCTAATTAACATTTATTACCAAAACAGACAAAGGATGGCACAAAAAAGACAACTCTGGACAAATCTCACAAATTTTAAAACCCTGAATAAAATGGGAGCAAATGAGTACAATGATATAAGGAAATCTATTAATATAATTTACTAGATTAAAATAACCATTTGATCATTTCTTTAGAAAGAAAAAGCTTAAAGCATTTGATGAAATGTCACAGCATTCCTGACTAAAACAAATTAAAAACTTTATAACTCTTGGAAAGCCAGGAGTAAAATGTATCCACCATAATCTATAGTAAACATCATTCTTGTGGTAAGCCATTAGAAGCAATTTTGTCGTGGTTATGAATAAAACAAGAATACCTCCTACCACTACTACTATTTAATACCATATTCGAGTTACTGGCCAACACACTATGGTAAGAAAAAGAAATGAGAAGTGTAAACACTGGAAAAGAAGAAATAAATGAAACTATCATTATTTGCAGATGTGATAGTCTATCCAAAATAGGAAAGTAAGTCCATGATAAAAACTATTTGAATTGACAAGAGTTTAGGAAATTGGAATATATTCAATATACTAAAATCAGTAAATTTTTTGTAAGCACAGCAGAGATAGATTAGAAAAGATAATGAATACTATAGAATACTATAAAGCAAAAAAATAAAGAAGTAAAGGACACTATAAAGTATTTAGGGATGCATCTTACAAGATCTGCATGAAGAAAAACAAAGCTTAAAGGTAATTTAAGTTCTCCATTTAAAAATTCAGATAAGGAGAGTAAAAAGAAGAAAGTGAAAATTACCTCACCACTCAGAAGAAACTTCTGTTAAAATCTAGGGGCTCTATCCTTCCAAACGTACACCAGTAAAAACGTACATGCCATGTTAAGGGAAAAAGAAGACAGTGCTGGTTTTAAAAGCATATCAACAGCTGTGGTGAGAAAGTAAGTAGTAAGGTTATAAAACATAGATTCATGAAGAAGGGGCAGCAGTTGAAAATGAGATTTCTGGTGAGCAGGAACATACTGGCAGAAGAGTCCTCAGTCTGGGGAGAGGATTGTGTTGCCACTGTGTTAGGTCACCTGATCAGGCAGATTTAGCCCCAGCCAGGAAACGATGCCCCTGGAAAGAGCTCCCCGAGAGTCTTGGTTTCAGTCCATCCTCCCTCCCATATGCACTTCTTGCCCACTGTCTACTTACCCTCCCTCCCCGCCTTATTTTATAACCAGAGCAAAACAAGCCAACAAAAAGACGGGTGAGTAATTTAGTTTGGCTGAAAATGCCTCCGATGTGGGGCCAGAGGTGTCTATCACTGAACTCCTGTTCTCCTCCTCCCCCAGACCGCCCAGGTTTGCTGAATGTGAAGCCCATTGAGGACATCCAGGACAACCTGCTTCAAGCCTTGGAGCTCCAGCTCAAGCTGAACCACCCCGAGTCCTCTCAGCTCTTTGCCAAGCTGCTCCAGAAAATGACAGACCTCAGACAGATTGTAACAGAACATGTGCAGCTATTGCAAGTCATAAAGAAAACAGAGACAGACATGAGTCTTCACCCGCTCCTACAAGAGATCTACAAGGACTTGTATTAGCAGACAAGTCCGCATTCACTGACAATGTGTTCCTTCTTCCGATTGCACTATTATTTTGAGGGGAAATCTGACACCTAAAAAATTTACTGTGAAAAAGCATTTTAAAAAGAAAAGGTTTTAGAATAATAGATCTATTTTATGCATATTGTTTATAAAGATACATTTACAATTTACTTTTAATATTAAAAATTACCACATTATGAAACTGCTGGTTGTATTTGAAGCCCGAGTCTTATGCATCCCCTATCATACCCCCACCACCAGGCTTTATTTTCTTTTATGTCCCTCCGTCCTTCCTTCCCTTCTTCCTTCCTCCCTCCTTCACTTTTCTTCTTTCCTTCCTTTTTTTTTTTTTTTAAGATTTATTTATTTGAGAGAGAGAGAGAGCATGAGTGGGGGAAGGGACAGACAGAGGAAGAGAACAGACTCTGTGCCTCAACCTACTGAGCCACCCAGGCACCCCCATTTTCTTCTTTCTTACACATTTTTAAAAATGTGAATGGAACTGCTGGTCAACTTTCATTCTCAGTAGATTAATTTTTCACTCAATTCACAACTTTTCTGAACCTTCCATCTGCCTTAACAACCACAACTAAAAAAAGAAGGGAAACTTCAGGACCAAAAACTTTTCAGAGCATGTCTTTCTTACCCTGGATGTGCAAGTCTGGGGCACAGCCTTAGGCCTACCAAGAATCCAGTCTTCTTCCCTTAGACCCAGCCAGGATTTTCACTCATCACGAGCAGCCTACCGATGGGGTACTGACATGTACGTGATCCACCCGGTGGCAGGCACTGCTAGAAGCTGTGGGTAACAGAGGTGTTGGAAGATTTGGTACCAACAATTATAGTTGAATTGAGGGGGAAAGATTCATCTTTCTTAAAAACAGATTATAATACTCAGTATAATCATGTGCCCAATAAATGGCTCTAAGTACTGTAAGGATTCAAAGGAAGTAAGGATTGATGAAGACTGGAATAGTCGAGTGTGACTCTAAGTTCACTGAAGTGGGTCTCAGAGGATGTGTTGGATTTGGGATAGGTAGAGGGTAGGAGAAAAGACATTCCAAGAAAGCAAAGCAGGAGGAACAAAGCAACAAGAGGAACCAAAACCAAACATGAATGAGGGAGAAGAACCACTTTCTGGTTCTGATGCACATGGACCAGTTTTGCTAGAATTATTCCTATTGTCCTCCTTGGGACCACCTTGCCCAGAGATCTTTTGCTTTTCTAACCTCAAAGGCTAATTATCTGTATCATTTGGGGGATGCATGGCTCCCTAGCATGCAGATGGTATGTTCCCTAAAAGCGGGGACTTTGTTGGCACATTAATAGGTTCCTTGATTGAAGCCACCAAATTCACTAGCAATTGCTTACCTGTGAACTCATGATACTGTGACTTTGAAGGGTACCTTATAAACACAGTCTCCTGTGTTCTTTCTCCCCAGGATGGTTATGTCCATTGACCTACATTATTTCCCTGCTGCTTCTCCCTTAGTTTATCTTTCCTTCTAATAAGGCTCTGATACTTAGGAGAACCTAACTTCACATTTGAGGCTTTCAGGCCAAAATATCAGGAGAGACCTTTTCATCCTTTACCCCAAAACAGACATCTCCAAAGGATCAGTTACAGAAGTGAGTCCTGACCACAGCCCTAAAAATGTAAGATCCCTAATGCTTTAGGAGCCACGACTTGTAGCTCAAAACTTTAGATAACAACCTCAGCATTTTGGGACCAGCGACTGAAGTCGATGTCGAAGTGTTATCAAAACACCAGGAAGAAGAGTAACAAACTCAGTCCATCACATGGCTATTTTTCCCTTGATGTCAAACATCAGGATATTCTGAAACATCCCCATGACTGACTAGAGGCTCCACTACTGTTCCATGTGGAGAGTTTATCATCTGGCAGATCTTGAAGAAGAAGAAAAAAAAAAAAAGAACGTGTGAGCAGTAGACGAGGTGAGGATTCCACCTCAGAGGAGATCCCTTGTTTACAAGAGTTCTCAAACAAAAAGTCTTTCAGCACGCTGCCTGCTCTCTGTTCCCACCAGCACCGCGTGCAGCCGGTCCAAACCCTTTCCACATTCTCGGAGCTGTGGCTGCCAATGAGGGGAGGAAGGGAGACGCTCTCAGCTCTTTGGCACTGATGGTTAGCATTAAATAGCTTTTAAACCCTGGCAGCTTGCAAGTTCCCATCTCTCTGACTTCTTCCCTGTGGTTTGGACTATCATTTGCTAAATATTTTACGACACATCTTCTGCAAGCCTCCAAAGCTCCTGCTCCTTTCTCCGATCTCCCTTTCCCCACAGGATGATTCACAATTTAATCAACAAATGTATCATCAGTTATTCATAGTATTTTCTCCGGACATAAACACACTTAGGGATTTGTGTTAATAAAAATAGGAAGAAAAGTAACTTCGGTCAAGTGTCCAAAAAAGGGAGGGGAGGGGGTTTCAAGGCTCCCAAGAGAGACCTACGCCCAGCACTGCCCTTGAATCTGGCCTGGCTCCCCCCTCCAACACCCCTCCACCCCAGGTCCCTGCTGTCTGTGGAGCACAGGAACAGTGAGGTACCCATGGGAGAGACCATATCTGCACACCGCGTTGTTCTCTAGCCACCATCAAAAACTGGGCTGGTCTGAGTTTCTGACTTCTCTTTTAAAATCTGGGAAAGGAGCAAGAGGATGGGGGTCTTCAGTGGGAACTCCACAAGAGTTGGAAAGCACTAGCTGGTGCCACACTGCAAATTCTGATTGATAACCCAGGGGGCAGAAACCAGGGGGATGGCCACATAAATGCCACTGAAGACAAAAGGGATGAGGGGGAACTAGGCTTCTGTGGTAGGCCTACTTACTTGCTACTGGATTCCAGTGACTTTTCCTCATCTCCCTAGAGGCTACCAAAGGCAGACCCTTTTTGTGGGCAGGCCCTACTTGCTGGATTATCTGCTACTAACTGTGTGGTGCTGATACAGCGGGTCAAGGGGGAGAAGGGGTTGGAAATTGGCCCCCAGATACCTATTCCCTTAAAAATACCCACTGGGGAGCAGGGGTGGAGCCTTCTAAAGAAAGCCAATTTCAGTTCTAAATCCCAAAAGAACCAAAATTCGTGGCCAGCAGGATCATCCCCATTGCTTTCTCTTTCCTCTTTCCCACCCACTCACTGGAACAGTTTGGGACTATGAGACAGACCAAGACTGTCTTCACTAGGTAGCCACCTCCGTATTTTTCTCTCTCCTCTCCATGCCCTGGTTCCTGGCCCTGGCTCCTGTTGTCTCTGTTCACATTAGCACTGTTATTATCTGCCTATCAACCCTCACCATGTGAGTGTACGTGGAAGGCCCACCATTTTAATGCTTACTGAAATGAACTAAAATAGCAGGATCTTAGCATGGAGCCTGTCAGATGTCATCTAATCCCACCTCATTCGTTCATCTGCACTCAGCTCCTACTCCAGTCCCCATGACACCATATGAAGAGGCGTGTGACTAGGCCCTGCCCTCAAGGGGCTCATGGTCTGTTGACAAAGTCGATGCATAAGTTATAGCTCAGCCAAAGGGATGAATCGCCTAGAGGTGTGAAAAAGGATTCACAGGGGATGTGGCTGGACTCAGAAATATAAAAGCACGTCATGTGTTCAGAAAAGAGCAAGAAGTTAGGCATGGCTACCATAGCTGAGGTAGTGAGAAGTGAATGTGGCCAAGTCAGCATCAGATTGTAAGAAGCCTCACCGTCCATGGTAAGGAGCTACCTTGGACTATATTCATAAGCAATTGGGATCCAGGGGAAGGGGACAGGCAGAAGAGGGACAAAATCAAGTTTGCACGTTGGGAAGTCAGCTCTCTACAGGTCAGATTCCCTCTACAAGGCTTCCAACGGCTGCCCAACCTCTGAACAACTACCTGAAGGGATGGGGAACTCCCTCCCTTTCAAGCCCCTTGGTGATTTCCATCTGGTAGGACAAGCTCTGCTCCCAGGGTCACACATACCACATGCTTGTTCCTGCACCCGAGAGGTTCTGACTCACCGTGTCCTCTTCAGTGAGGTGGCAATTTTTGGCTCAGTCTTCCGGCCAGCTGAAGGACCCTACCCCCTCCCTACTTGCTGTCCATTCACTACTGCTCCTAGGAGCTGGGGCCTCACGTACCCCCAACCCACAACATTCCTCTGCCTTGACAGCAAAGTCACTTCTACCCCTATGTAACAAAACTTTCATGCCCTACACTCATTTCCAGACAAGCCCTGCATTTGTCATAGAATTCTAGAAAATTCGAACTCAAAGCTAACCCTTGAATTCAAATGACAGATGAGAAGCCTGAGGATCAAAGAAGTTAAGTAATATGCCCAAGGCCCTAGGCATCTACTAGGATTAATTTATTCAAAGGTGTTGTATTTCACACGTACTCTTACCAACCCTGGCACAGTCGCCAGTGGGGTCAGCAGTTTAACAAGAGAGCCTCGAAGTACGTGACAGGCTTGAAGCTAGTGCGAGTCTCGGCACTGGGGAGCAAGGAAGAAGGATGGGGCCAAGTTTTTAGGGGGAGTATTGCAATGGTCAAAAGGTTATTATGTGAATCACTCGGGACTGTGTCTGGCACGTAGTGTGTAGACCTGTTATGGAAGACAGTATCTTAGTTTGGACTTCAGAGATACACAGGTTTGGGTTAAAATTCTAACTCTACCACTACTTGTCCTATAACCATATGACTTTTGGTCAATCTCTTAACCTCTCTAGGCCTTAATTACCCTCATATGCAAAATGGGACAATAACACCCATCTTATAGGTAACCTTGAGGATTAAACGTAATAGTGGCTATAAAACACTTCACACCGCTCCTTGGCACATCGTTACTGTCAGTCTGTGTTGGCTACAGATAACCTTATGGCCGTTGTTATTATTAAAGGGCCCTTCATTCCAGAAGCCATCCTGGGCTCATAGAACAGGCTCTTCCTGTTCAAGTATTCTAGGCCTTACCTGAATAGATTGACAGCCAGGTAAAAGGGACTGGATTTCAACATTTGGCAGGACAGTAAAAAATACGTTCTCTTAAACGTATTTTGCTTCCAGTCCATACACACTAGGAGAAAATAATTATTTGAAAGACAACTGCCGTGTTCTGATTTAGAAAAAATGCCAGGATGAGGCTAAGAAAACATTTTCTCCAAAGTAGGGGGACTTTTCTCTTGTGACTTATGCTCCTAAT